GGGCTGGATTTGAGCTCATTAGCATCTGCTTGGACGGGAAACATTCCCCTAAAATTTCAGCTTTCTGGCATCTCAGGACCTCGAGTCATGAATTTACGCGGGAAAAATTTTGGGGGGCCCGTACGCGGGTACCACGCTTACTCGGGGGCTGGGTTTGAGCTCATTAGTGCCTACTTGGACGGGAACATTCCCATAAAATTTCAGCTCTCTAGCTTTTCTGGTTGGCGAGTTATCAGCTTACCCGTAAAAAACTTTGGCGGGGTCTTACAGGGGTACCACGCTTTGGGGATAGGGGCCCGTACGTGCATGTAGATTAAGTCCCCAAAGCTTCAGCCCCGTAGCTTTTGTCGGTCTCGAGATGAAAAATCGGTACAGAGACCCAGCGCACACACAGACACACACACACACAAACACATACACGCACAAACACATACACACACACAAACACACAGACAACCTCTCGTCAATATGCGTTTTTCGCACTGCATTGCTGCAGAAAACGCATAAAAATGACAGAGCTTCGTGCAAAATACTGGTATTCATGCACCTGGAGGTTCGTGTGGCTCTATAATGCACCACCTTCATCTCAACGGACACCTTTCCTCCTGCATGTCGGAAAGGGTCAAAATACGGTCAATATGAGCCCAAGTGTTAAGCTACAACGCAGGAATCATTCCTGCTATTAGCGACCTGTGAGTTTAGTGCTATAGAGCATGATCACACCGGCAAGCCTGGTGCGTTCCAGCCTGGGTTGCATTTGCATATAAGCAAAAACACATAAAAATATAGGTGTACATTGCAATAATTGCTCCTGCGAGAATTCATAATCAGGGATTATTTAGTTAGAGATGTAATTTGTCATTCCCTCCGGGTGGAGAAGCGCAAAGATGCCAACAGTTTTGGAGCCTGAATTTTGCTATATCGGTATGCAGGATGTAGGCGTTAGCGGTGAGTGATATCGTGCGCTCGGTGCCGTATGGGATATGCTAACGTTATCGAGAAATTACATTTCTCTTGCCTGGCTAATTAGAGAGAGAAAAAGAGAGTGAGATAGATAATGGTGATGATGACAGTATAGCAAATTGAACAGTCCATGTGCAGGACATATACATAACCGAATACACATTTCGGAGCTATAGACTTTCACGTGAACAGTGAACATAGTAAAATACTGCTTCCTGTCCGGCCCGACTACCAAGTTATTTGTATGTCAATGATGTCTGAAACTAACAGTTCACTTACGGCACTCGCAAAAGCTGGGCATGCTCTAGTATTTAAACAGTACTATTTTGGTCATGCATGAGCATCGAATATTCTCATTTATTCTCAGTTTCTTAGCATGTCTGGTTACCGAAATCCCTTCTTGTCACGTAGAATATTTGGTGCATCGGAACTCGCGATCCAGGCGTAAGTCAAAGCTCATGTTAAGTTTGGTTGTACAATTATGGAAAATAAATATTCTCGTGATGTTTGAACATTCCAGTTAACTTAGTCACAAAATTGGCATTTTGCCAACGATAACTGGCGTGTCCGTATGCAGAGTGTATATGTTTGTAAGGCTGAATTTGAAATCTCTACCTCAAACATGCACAGAGAATATCCCTGCGAAGTTTCATCTCTCTATCTTGTCTAATTCCCCAGGTAGCTTTCCCGCCAAAAAATTTGCATATTTTTTTGAGGCGTAAGCACGCGGCATCGAGGCGTACGCGGGGATGATCTAAACTCAGGCTGGAACGCACCAGGCGAGCCGGTGCGATCATGCGTTTTTGCACCAACTTTGAGGTACTCCATCTTATTTCCCTGT